TCCAACTAAACCTGCATTTACACCTGTTAATGCCCATACCCAACCTGTTAACCATTTACAACCAACTACTACTACAAGTCCCCTAGAGCAAATACAAAGAGAGACATTTGAAATTCAAAGACAACAAGTAGAATTAATGAAAATGATGTCGCTTCCGACTCCGAAACCGCCTGTATTTAGTGGTAATATTTTGGCCTACCCAAAGTGGACGTTAGCTTTCGATGCCTTGATTGACGGTGAAGCTGTAAACCCAGCACATAAGTTATACTACCTTGGGGAATATACTAGTGGACAAGCCCAGAAAATGATTGATGGATTGTTGGGGCTGCAATCTGATGATGCGTATAAGAGAGCTAGGCAGATATTGCAAGAACGCTTTGGTGATCCATACAAGATTTATCAGGCATACAATGAAAGGCTTAAGTCATGGCCAGTATGCAGCAAAGCTTCCGAGCTTCAGGAATTCAGCGACTTTCTGGTAACAGTGCAAGAAACTATGAAAACAGTGAAGCACCTCAAGGACTTTGACACCTTTTCTGCTTGAGCTTGTTAAAGGAAAGTATGATTTTAACGACCTAGTTGACTTTGTGCAAAAGGCAGCAAAGGATGCAACTCATCCAGTGTTCTCGCATGAAGTTCTGTTATCTAAGAGAAAGGAGTTGTTGAAAGACAAGAAGCAAGAAGACAAGAATAGTTATCACAAGAGAAAGTTTGGCTCATTCAACACAAGTAAGTACAATGAAAGCTCTGGTCATAGTGATAAGAACATAAATGAACTCATGTGCCCTGCATGTAGAAAGCCTCACAAATTGGAGAACTGTGACATATTCCTAAAGAAGTCTGTAAAGGAACGATCAGAATTAGCTAAGTCGAAAGGGCTTTGCTTCCTGTGTTTATGTCATGGTCATATGGCCAGGAGTTGCAAAGAATCCATTAGATGCCAGACTTGTAAGAAACCCCATGCCACACTTCTCCATTTTGAATCCAAGGAGTCTAAGAACGGGAATAAGAAAGAGAACGAAGAGTCTGGCAAAGAAAAGCCTAAAGTAGCTAATCGTGTCGTAGTGTGTCATAGCAATGATTGCAATGAAGTAACAACATCGTCTTTAATACTTCCGGTATGGATATGTCACAAGGACAATCCTGAGAAGAAAATAATGACATATGCTGTTTTAGATGATCAAAGTGACACATGCTTTGTAACGGACAGTGTTTGTGTTCAGTTAGAAATTGAAGGACCTGAGACTGTGATTGAGTTAGGAACAATGCACGCTGTAGAAGATATCAGAACCCAGAAAATTAGCGGTCTTATTGTTTCATCGGAAGATAAGTCAGTAGATGTACCTTTACCAAAAGCTTATTCCCGTGAAAATATTCCAGCGCGTCGAGATCAGATCCCTAGAGTAGAAATGGCGATCAATTGGAGTCATTTGAGTCCAATTGCCAATGAAATACCAGAATATCGTGATGATCTCGGTATTGGTCTCCTAATTGGTAACAATTGTGTCGAAGCTATCAAACCACGTGACGTTATTCCCGGAAAACCTCAAGACCCGTATGCTATTAGAAACCTCAAGACCCGTACTGTATTCGGTTGGGGTTTGATTGGAGTAACAAACCCTGTTGATCACCGCGAATGCCAATCAGACGGAACTAGAATACATTGCCATCGAGTTACAACCAAAGATATCACAACCCAGAGTACCGGTTCAACCTTTGTAGAGCAAACCCAAGTAAAGGAAGTATTGAATCCTCACGAAGTGTTAAAGATGTTTGAACAGGACGTTTCGGAAAAGAAGAGAAAGAAACCAATGTCGTTAGAAGATCGAATGTTCCTGGATATAACGAAAAGAGAGATTCACGTTACTGACGATGGACATTATGAGTTGCCACTTCCGTTTCGAAATGACAAAGTTGAATTACCGTCGAACAGAAAGCTTGCTGAATCAAGGTTAAATGGCCTTAAAGCAAAGTTCGCCAAGGATGTCAAATACAAAAGAGATTATATGCAATTTATGGATGATATGATGAAGAAAGGCTACGCTGAGAAAGCTCCACAGACTGATGGAAAACCGTGGTATATACCTCATCATGGAGTGTACCATACACACAAACCCAATAAGATCAGGGTCGTATTTGACTGCTCAGCCGAATATGAAGGTCAATCATTAAATCAACATCTTTTACAAGGACCTGACCTAACGAACTCGCTCACTGGTGTACTTTGTCGATTCCGCGAAGAAAGAATAGCGTTTACGTGTGACATCGAATCCATGTTCTGTCAGGTACGTGTGAATGAAGAGCATCGCGATTACTTAAGGTTCTTGTGGTGGCCTGACGGAGATACATCGAAGGAGCCCGAAGACTACAGAATGCGAGTCCACCTATTTGGAACAACGTCATCACCCGGATGTTCCAATCTAGCGTTGAAAACCACGGCCAAAGCTGGTGAAGAAGAGTTTGGAACAGATGCCACCTCATTTGTCGAAAACTGTTTTTATGTTGATGATGGGTTAAAGTCCTTTGAGAAGGTAGAGCAAGCGACTAAGTTGATAAAAAGCAGCATTGAAATGTGCCAGAAAGGCGGATTTCGTCTACACAAGTTTACTGCAAACAAGCGAGAAGTGATCGAGTCCATTCCCGTTGACTACCGTGCTACCGAAGTCAAAGAACTCGATCTGTGTCACGATATACTTCCGATCGAACGAGTGCTAGGAATGGAGTGGTGCATCGAAAGTGATTCTTTTCGGTTTCGCATAACCTTAAAGGACAGACCACTTACAAGACGCAGGGTTTTGGCAACTATAAGTTCCATTTATGATCCCCTCGGACTCGCTACCCCTGTTCTACTCACTGGAAAAAAGATCCTACAAGCCCTGTGCAAAGAGAATGCTGATTGGGATGACCCTCTGCCAGAAAAGCTTAGAATAGAGTGGGAAAGATGGAGAAAGGACATTCATTTGTTGGGAAACATGAAAGTTGAAAGATGTTACAAACCTGAGAGCTTTGGAGAGGTGAAGAAAACTGAACTTCATCATTTCTCTGACGCAAGCTGTGAAGGGTACGGTCAATGTTCGTATATAAGATTGGTTGATGATAGCGATAGAATCCACTGTTCATTAGTTGTGGGCAAATCTCGTGTGGCGCCACTGAAACAAGTTTCGATTCCAAGGTTAGAGCTAACAGCCGCGGTTGTTTCTGTCAAAGTCAGTGCCATGCTTCAAGAAGAACTCGATTATAAGAGCATCGAAGAGATATATTGGACAGATAGCAAAGTCGTTTTAGGATATATTAACAATGATGCGCGTCGCTTCCATGTATTCGTGGCTAATCGCATCCAACAAATCAGAGATCATTCGTCAAAGGATCAGTGGAATTACGTTGAGTCAAAGTTAAATCCAGCTGATGAGGCATCCCGAGGTTTAAAGGCCTGTGATATTGTGAGCGATTCGAGGTGGATAAACGGTCCGTCATTTCTATACGAAGCTCACCAAGATTGGAATCATTTTAACCAACCGGATGACAAAGCAAAGCTGGAAACAGATGATGTCGAAGTAAAGAAAGTCACAACCTTTGCAACATCTGTGAAAAAATGACGTGGTAGAGAGATTAGAATACTTTTCGAGTTGGCACCAAGCCAAGAAGGCCATCGCTATTTGTCTTCGTTATCGCAGATTGTTACGTCAAAGGGTACGTAAGAAAAGGGAGGAAAAGGATGTCGAGAACATTGAGAAAGCAGCAACTGTTATGAAACCTGACCAAGCTGTTACTGTGGAAGAAATGAATGCTGCTGAACGGGAAATAATCAAGGCACTGCAGAAAGAAGAATTCAAACAGGAGATAAGCTCGTTAAAGTCAAAACCCAAAGTCAATGTACCGGAAACTCAACGACGGCGAAATACGGTAGCTAGAACTAGCCCGATTGCTAAACTCGATCCCTTTATGGACGAACATGGAGTTATACGAGTAGGAGGAAGAATTCGAAGATCTAGTATGGACGCTAATATCAAGCATCCGGTAGTCTTACCAAAGAGAGCTCACGTTTCGAAGCTGATAGCAAAACATTTTCACCAGAAGATTGATCATCAAGGACGAGGGATAACTTGGAATACGATACGTGCTTCAGGATATTGGATCGTCGGTTGTAAAGATGTTGTAGCTAAACTTATCAAAGATTGCGCCGTTTGTCAAAGATTTCGAGCGAGTGTCAAAGATCAGAAAATGGCAGATCTTCCGAAAGAACGGGTTGAGACCTCACCACCATTCACATACAGTGCGGTCGACTATTTTGGACCATTCTACGTAAAGCAAGGCCGGAAAGAATTAAAACGATACGGTGTATTGTTCACGTGTTTAGCCTCAAGAGCTATTCATCTAGAAGTTTCTCACACTCTAGAAACAGACTCGTTTCTAAACGCCTTTCGACGATTTGTCTCCAGACGAGGACCCGTGCGAGAACTGCGTTGTGATCGTGGAACGAACTTTGTAGGCGCCAGTACGGAATTGCAGAAGTGTTTGAAAGAAATGAATCACGATAAGATCAAAGAGGAATTGCTAAAAGAAAGTTGCGATTGGTTTCAATTCAAGTTCAACGTCCCGAAAGCCAGCCGTATGGGAGGAATTTGGGAGAGACAAATCAGGACAGTTCGGAATGTCTTAAATGTTCTTCTATACCAAAATGGCAGTCAATTGAACGATGAATCGCTTCTTACCTTCATGTGCGAAGCGGAATCTATCGTCAATAGTCGTCCGCTTAGTGGTGACAATCTCGGTTTACCGGACAGTTTAGAGCCGTTAACACCCAATCATCTGCTTACGATGAAGAATAAGGTTCTTCTTCCCCCACCAGGAGTGTTTCAGAAAGAAGAAATGTATCTACGTAAGCATTGGCGAAGAGTTCAACATCTATGCAATGAGTTTTGGTCGCGTTGGAGAAAAGAATTTCTGCATTCCCTGCAAGAACGCCAAAGATGGCTCAAACCGAAACAGAATCTCGAAGTCGGAGATATTGTTATCGTCGCTGAAGAAGAATCATCCCGAAACTGTTGGCCATTAGCTCGCGTAGTGAATGTTGAGAAAGACGAAGATGGCCTAGTTCGAAAAGTAAAGTTGATGGTCGGCGAGCGGAGACTCACGAAGCAAGGAAGAAGAGAGAAGCCTCTCGTTAGCCTGGAACGTCCAGTCCACAAGTTGATATTGTTGATCCAAGGAGAAAGACCGGGAATCCCCGCCGAAGAGCCTGATGACAAATGATACAGACATTGCTGATAAACGTTAAGTTCATGTTATTGTTGTTTATATTTAGTAAATTCGAATTTCGAATTTAGGGGAGCCATGTAAGTGCTCGCGTTGCGTGGACACGCGCGCGTGTACAGATCGGAAACGTTCGTGCGTTGTCGTGCCTTTTTTGGCGCGAAAGAACACAGAAGAAAAAAGAACATGTTTAATACGAAAGGACAAGCTTTTTGTATTTTAAGATTTGCAAATTAAGATAAAGGCCGAGTCATCAACGTTGTTTACCCGGCCAAAACCAAGTAACCTAAAGATAAAACATGAATAAAGATTAATGAACATTTACATATATATATATATATATATATATATATATATATATATATATATATATATATATATATATATATATATATATAGTGTTTGAGCACTCTGGTCTCGATACGCTCTGCGCATGTCTGGATGCGTTGAGTCACCGTGTTGTACCACATGCCTTGGTGAGAGCAAGTTCATGGGGTATAAATACGAGTGTCTCACGTATCTAGACGTGTACCAAACTGCACTGACGAGGCGTTGAACGCCGAAACATGCATGTGTGCAGATTGTACTATATATATATATATATATATATATATATATATATATATATATATATATATATATATATATATATATATATTTCATGTGCTTTCAAATACGCAGTAACCGCGCTGAACCTATAGCCTCATAATTTATACCCGGGGTTGGTACCGAAGTGAAGCAGAACACACTGTAATTTTTTTATTTACCATACCTCGACATTGGTCAAAATCATTTTTACCCAACCCATGTGTTACAGTAACTGTACTTAAACACACAAGATTATGGTGACAGAAATCAAGTTGTGTAAATTCTAAAACGTCTCGCAAACTCACTGAGTGTGCCAGAGCAATAACGTTCCTGCTGATCAATGCTATAGTCCTTCATCAATCACTGATGGTCTATTTTGGTACAGAATGTATTGTATACATTTTTCTTCATATTTTCCAATGCATGGTAATTAATCAGAGTTGCAAAACCTGTTCATATTTCCTCTGGGTAAAATTTAAAGTTTGAAACCTTCCTCAAAATAAATTGAATAAATTAATAAATAGCATGGCTTCATCAGATAGTAATATGCTATAGAGTATATATAAAAAATTCGAAAGAGATGTGCCGTTAAATGCAGTACATGATTCTAATATATAATTTGCCATAATAATAGATTTATACTTAATACAAATTGGACAGTCCTTACCTACTAATTCTACATCCTAGATGATATATTGAATATAAAAGAATATACAAAAAAATCCTGGACTCAAGATGCAATGGTTTCTGAATCTGTAATAAAAAGCACAGCGGTACACACGTAAAAATTGAGAAAATAAACAACTTGTTCCCAGTTGATATTGTCATGCAGGCGTGAACAAGGTTGTGCTGCCCACTATGAACAAGCCCTTACAAAAACTTCACATAACATTTCATATATGAAAATTTCAGAAATGAAATCGTTATATGGAATTGAAACAAATTTCGTATATGAAAATTTCATATATGAAATGTTATGTGAAAATTTCATATCTGATGAAATATTTCATATGTGAAATTTTCATATATGAAATTGTTTCAATTCCACACAAAGATTTCATATATGAAATATTTCATATATGAAATCTTCATATATGAAATTGTTTCAATTCCACATAAAGATTTCATATGTCAAATATTTCATGTATGAAGTTGTTTCAATTCCACATAAAGATTTCATATATGAAATATTTCATATATATATGAAATTCCACATTAAGATTTCATGTATGAAATTTTCACATGTTTCAAATGTTCAAAGTCAGGGGCAGTTTATATGATCCCACTTACCCAATATTAAACGAAGCGTGCAATGACTTTGAGGTATTGAAATAAGAACCATTAACAAATGACTTATTTCAATACCTCAAAATCATTGCACGCTTCATTTAATCTTGGATAAGGGGGATCATATGAACTGCCCCTCGGAAAAATCTACCTACAAAATAAGAAAGATACGTACTATACAGGTTTGAGATACCACATCGGACACTAGTTTATTCGAAATATACAAAATAATAGAAACTTAATTACAATATACATCTATTTACACTATTATATACTACAGAGTGTATAAAAAATGTCCCCAATGGAAAATTCTCCAAACTACTCTCAGTTACAAAAAATATCCCAAATTTTGCATGATATAGGGGAAATGATCCATTTGGGACATTTTTTGATACACCCTGTATGTGTGCATTACTCAACTAAAGGTACTGCAGAAATAAAAAAATCAGGGGTTACCGGTAACACCATACAGGGACAAGACCAAAGACAGGGGCGGGCATATCGATTTTGACTGGGAGGGTGTAATCACGAAATGAGATCGACCCACCACTGAAATGTGAATCCAGACCGACTCTTGCTGAGTTCGTGTGTTGCAATAAAATTGAGTACAAAGCATGGAAATTGATGGCATTTATTAGGAATTTTGCAAGAACACGTACAGTTTACTGTGAAATGTTGTAAGTGTCCGTGCTTAGTCAGGTTTGACCTAGGCTCAGACTCCAGCCGTTGTGTTGTCGCCACTCGCCCACTTAACGGCTGGGTCAATGGTTAATATTTCTTGTCTGTGACGTCAAGGTTAATATTTAAATGTATGCATATATTTTGCATAATTATGTATTTCTATAATTATGTATTGTCAGGAGCGAACAATTTTGTTTCGAAGAGGAAATAGCAAATTTTAACAACTTTGTGCATTCATCGATAACTTTTTTGTAAAGGAAAACAAAATGGAAACTTTTAAGTTCATTTGACAAAATGTTATTAAGTTCTAGTATGTTTTTAACGAAGAAAGGAACTGCAATGTACACGAGTCAATGAATATATTATATATCTAAATAGTGAAACAATAAACCCTACCAACAAAAGCAGGTGAATCTGAATAATTAACGTCTTATATATTTCAAACAAATAGTTTTTCAACGAATATTCTTTGAAGAGGAACATAAATTTAATGTTAATATTTATTTGAGTTGTTTATAGACTATAGTTATACCATAGTTATACGCAATGCAATTTTACGCCTTGTGATTAATATCTAAAGATTTTCCTTATGATTTTGTTTGAGGGACAGTGAAGGAACTAAGTCTTTTATAGACCAAACAATAGTCTGTCAAGATATGATCATTATGATGGTCTGGAAGCCTGCAAACTTCCAAGCTACAAAATAGAAGACTTAGTGTTTGATGTTGAACTGTACCTTACTGTGCACCTTCATAGATTTGGTTAAACCATCTTTTGGTGTAGCAAGAATATTTGAAATTTAAAATGTTCTTGGCTTTATTTCGGTGTTGTATACGACTGTTGACCAAGTCCGTAATCATTTGTAGCTACACACAGCAGTGAGGGGTATTATAGTGGTAATGGTGACAGGATATTGCCTTTCCAAATTGAAAAAAAAAATATTTGATGAAATACCCCCCCCCACCTTACACCCCCTTTGCCAATGTTAAGGGGGGTGCATCCCCATGGCAGTAAATACATCCAGGGATGGATCCAGCATGATCTGGTAGGGGGTGCTCTGCCAGCTCTGGTGCCGAGTTGTGTCAGTCATGTGTGCCACCCGCCCATCAACTTGCTTCACTACTGCAAAGTCCTGCTTGACTACTGTATTTAAATTGTAATTGTTGTTCACATTTCGCTTATCATCATGTTATTACTCAAATTACTGTATGTCATTTTGTCTCTAATAATTTTTTGCTTTATCATGAAAAATAGCACACCCCCCTGCACCCCTTCTGGCCAGGGCTAGGGGAGTGCCCCCTCCCCCCCCAGTAAATCCATCCCTGAATATATCTCTGCAGAAATGCAAGAAGAATTTGGCTTCTTTTCCCCCATGAAAACTTAATCCCCCATGCAAGGATAATTTTGGTGTTTAACATTTTGATATTTTCTAACTAAAGTGTTACTGCAATAAATTTTCTGAACCCTTGTTTATTAGCTTAAATAAATATTCAATCTTTCAGAACTAGTAATTTATCATGCTTTGTCATTCTCAGTCTGGCTTTCATATGAACATCCGTTAAAAACACACGTTGACATGACAACTATCCTTTTCTTAATACCATACTGACAAGGTTACCAAAACTCAGCCTGAGAGCAAACATATTTGAGCTTGTTGAACAGACTGAATGCATATTTCACTGATGTCTGAATTTATAAAACATTGCATACTTTTATTCCATAAATCCTCTACTTAGGCTATCCAACAAGTCCCATTCTTTGCCCCTTCACAACAAAGAAACACATGATACCAATTGGATTTATTTATTGCCCTTCAAATAACTATGTGCCCACATTTATTCAATTAGTATTCATGGTAAATCATATTGTCAATATATAAAATAATATTGAATTTATTGTGCTTGTCTGTAATTAGCATATATGAACACACTGATATATCAGTTTCAGTTCACAAATTACCTGCCCAGTCTAAAAAATATTGTCAAATGGCCCAAACTAGCTTGTGGGAGATCTAACTAGGCCTATTATTACCTAGCCATGGGCTCCATGAAAGGGCCTGTTTATAAAATCCCAGCTAGGCAGGATTAGGCAGTTTCCCAGATCCTGACTATCATATGAACTCGTGTTCAAAAATACATGTATATATTTGATGAACTCACTCACGAACATGTATAAACATGACATCCTAGTTGCCTGACATCCTAGTTGCCATATAAACATGTCTTAATATTAATTAAAATAAGCCTTTTAGATACTGCAATATCCTACATACTAATATACTATATGTCACAAGACTTTGCAAAATAACTTTTTCTACTTTCCTGGCAATATGTCAGACCAGCCCAATAATAAACACATCCAGGTTTACTGTAAATATAATTATAAATGTCCAACTGAATCAGCAGAAACAGGGAGGGTTTCAAAGGACTAGGCCACCTAGCTAA